CAGTAGTACAAAAATATTAATATTACTGGAACACTTATTTTTTTACACAGAAGGATGTTATTAACCAGGTAAAACCTGAACTGTTTGTGGTTGTTCCATCATATCTACCGGGTACTAGTCTATTTTTTTACACGCTTTTATTTAACTCACTCTGTCTGTTATTGTTGTTGTATCCTCAAATCTTGTACCTCAATTTGAACCCACTTCTCAATGTGGTATCGACTGCAAACTTGGTATACTTATGTCATACTGATGACAATACTATATTCCCTCATTAAAATAAAATAAAATATTTTTAAACATTATTTTTTATGTTAAGTTTCGGCTTGGGTCTAATTGTCCACGCTCAACTGACATTGGCTGTACATCACCACGGTCCCTTACGTTATGGCAAGCTTCGGGGCCACTTCCTGGAGTCGTGGAGTTCTGCCATTACTCGTACGGTACATTTCATTAAAGTGTGTTCTTAAAAAAAGTTGTTTTTAATATTACTTATTCCGAGTAAATTTCCTCCCGAATCCCCAGCGTTCCCAGCCTCCCACTTCCAGCCCCGCCCATTTCCCCCTCCCCCATCTCCACGTCCTCTCTCCTCCTAGCGCTCACCCCCCCCATCCCCCTACCCCACCCCCCCCTCTCTCTCCCCCCTTGCTCCTCCCCCTGCCACGGAAGCTCTCTCGCCCACTGCATTGTTGCTGCATTGGCATTGTTGCTGCATTGGCATTGATGCTGCATTGGCATTGCTGCTGCATTGGCATTGTTGCTGCATTGGCATTGTTGCTGCATTGGCATTGCTGCTGCATTGGCATTGATGCTGCATTGGCATTGCTGCTGCATTGGCATTGTTGCTGCATTGGCATTGTTGCTGCATTGGCATTGCTGCTGCATTGGCATTGCTGCTGCATTGGCATTGTTGTTGCATTGACATTGCTGCTGCATTGGCATTGTTGCTGCATTGGCATTGCTGCTGCATTGGCATTGCTGCTGCATTGGCATTGTTGCTGCATTGGCATTGCTGCTGCATTGGCATTGTTGCTGCATTGGCATTGCTGCTGCATTGGCATTGTTGCTGCATTGGCATTACTGCTGCATTGGCATTGCTGCTGCATTGGCATTGTTGCTGCATTGGCATTACTGCTGCATTGGCATTGTTGCTGCATTGGCATTGATGCTGCATTGGCATTGCTGCTGCATTGGTATTGTTGCTGCATTGGCATTGCTGCTGCATTGGCATTGTTGCTGCATTGGCATTGTTTCTGCATTGGCACTCGTGCACTGGCCATGCTGCTGGTGCTGTTGATACACTAGGGCTACGCCCATCCCAAAACCTTTATCAACGGTTTGCCTTTAGAGGCTGACTTCTTTGCCTGATGACGACTGCTTGTGTTTCGATCGAAACGTCGTGATTTGCTTTCTTTTCTTTTAATGTATTTCTAACTACGTGCCTCTACCGAAAGAACCAAAGAGTATACCTTTAAGGTTGTTTTTTTAAGGGTGGCTTTAAGATATTATGACCAGGGGGGTTTTAATGAGGGTTAGTTTACTTTATTTAATTTTATTAAAATAAAATATTATAAGTAAAATGTAAATTAACGTCCGAAACAAAGGTATAAACATCGTGATTTACGTCACAGTCAACGGACCACGTGGAGGACCGTCACGGCCCACTCGTGGCCCAGGGACCACGCTTTGAGAGCCACTGCTCCAAAGGTACAGGGTGACATTATGAGTTAATGTTAAACTGTAACGCATCTACCACTGCATTCTGTCGTAAAGCATCGCCAGTTTCTCTCTAGCGTCAGTCAGTCTCCAATAGGGTTCCACCCCTCTGTTGTTCATCACTTGTAAAATAAATGCAATATTTCATTGTAATTACTTCGGTGGGGAAATTACATCGTCGGCGTAGATATATATAACACGCGTTGTTTCGCATGCGTGCTGCTGCCGTGCGGGTACATCAGTGGTACGAGCAGCAAGCAAAGGAGCGTGTCAGCCCATGATAACTCGCCTCCGAGGACCAACCAGATAAAGAGCAATACCCACCACATTCAGCGCACCGCCAGTCAGCGGTGCCTTGTGGCCGCTGCAGATAACGCCCCAACCACCGCGCAACAGAATCATCCAACATCCGGCATCTCCTGCGGGTTAACCCCTTTGTATCCTCACACTTCACGCGTTGCCGATCAGGGGGTGCGATTTTTTGCGGGTCCCTCTGACTGCATCCCAACATTTATTTGTTTCAAATAGGAAGAGCTTTGGTATTCTCAAAATGTTCATGGCACACTTGAAATTCTTGCTTCAAATATATACACAGTATATGTGGTTATATTTGCCTTTGCAAAGGGGCGCCACGGTGGTGAGATGTTATCGTCCTCCCCGGATATGCAGGAGGTCGAGGGTTCGATCTCCGACCCTGATGCCTGTATATTTGGAGTGTGCATGTTCTCCCCGTGGTCGCGTGGATTTTTTAAATATTATTTTGGTGCTATGATAGTCCAAATGATAGGCCACTTTGTTGAACTATAATTTGTGGCCAGGTCGCTTCTTAAAAATAAGTTCATACCTCAGTGGGCTTTGCCTGGTAGGATGGGGATGGTTCAGTTTCATGTTAATGTGTTTTTCTTATACTTTTCACTACTATCATGTTTTTGTATTGTATGTTGTTGTAATGTTCTTACTCGCTAACTACTGGGCATCTGTGAAAAAATAGCTTTATAGCTCATCGGATTCCTCCGGTGTGAATAAATATTGTGATTATGATTCTGAGATTAAACCATAATACTGTACATTAAATAGTATGCACTAGTTTAATACGTTTCCGTGAATGAAAAGTACATGTTTTAATCAAATCATATGTACACTGAGAACCATGATTACAAACAGCATTATAGCCCCCATGCTTTTTTAACGATACAGTGTGCTGGATCACGTGTCTAATGTGTTGTGAATATTGTTTTTACTTGCAAATTAGAAACGGTTGCATATGGTCAGATATATCCATGTAACACAATATGAGCAACGTTTACTGTAGACATCACAATTAAATGAGAAAGAGTTTTACTTTATTCATAATCAACGTTTTTGGATTTAGATCGCGTTATTTATAAATGTGTCGTAACCCTCCACCACCCGACACGGCCAATCAGTAAAAAAGTGTCGCGTTGACAAAAGACAAATAGTTCACTGCTTTAGCCCACCGGTGTGTTGAAGCGTGAAACCACATACTTTAGCTGAAAATTATCTCTGAAACCCTTGGTACCGTAAGCAATTTGACATTCACCTCTTTCCAATTTTAAACCATAGTCCACTATCGATGTAAAACAAATTAATTGCTTTTAAGTCTTCGTAAGGGATTTTTCGATGACTCCTTTAAATAACATCCAACACCACGATTGAAGTGGAAAATGAAATTTGTTCTTGCATTGGCGCCCAGTGCTGACCCTACAAAAAAGAGGGCCCATGATGTAATAGCATATTTCACACTTGAGTTTGAAAGTGCTATTTTCACGAAGTGAATTTCACATCTCGCAATTGCATTCGGCATACATTGCTTGAAACTTATAATAGTGATCTGTAAGCATTTTTTTTTCTTTTTTGATTTTGAAATTTTATAAACTTTGCAGTGTAATAACACGTTGATGTCTGGGATGCATTGTTTTGAAATTACAAAAGTACCACCTGGAGAAAATTAATTTTAATAATGGATAACGTTGGCATATAGTAGTTGTTTCATATATACAGCAGTTTAATTTTAATGTTCGCACTCCCCAATACCTGTAAATTTATAGTGGCATAACACAATTAGAATATTGTAACAACAAATATAAATTACCAATGTGATATATGGGTTATAGGAGGATGAATCTATAAATGTGTTACTTTACACATTGGTACGGTTCAATAAATAAGTGATACAAAAAACTACTAACGCACAGCAACACAAACACAATTCAACACTGACACTGGGGAGCTGTGAATTTCACGATCAACATTGAATCAGTTGTTCAAACACGTCATTTACATCCGCTGTGCCAGGAAACAAATACGCTCTTCTAACAAAAAAAACCATTTGCATCGCAGTCCGGTGCAACGACAGTCACTTACCTTGTCGTGAAACGCACACACACACTTGCGTCTGAGAAAAGTGCCCAACAACTTCGACCGAACGCGAGAGTTGTGTGGGGTTTTTTTTTGCGACATGAAATCTTTACAGCATGAGATTATTAATATGATCACTACGCCCCTCCAAGCCGAGCAATTTACAGAGCAGCATCGGCGCAAATTCAGTCAGATAAAGATCCCCCGTATAGCCCTTAACAGACTGTTGGGGCAAGTGCTGTTAGCGAGTACCACCTATGAAGGCCGGCACGGCACACGAGGGGGGTGGGTGGCCAGCACCACGCCCAGGGGCCGCCTTTGTCTTCCGAGTGGCGATGTTTACACACCGCGCCAGGTGCTCATTTTAGGCTGGGTCTACGTAGGAGACGCCCAGGACCAGTTCAGATAATCGTCACCGGTTTTGTCCGTGAGCGGGAACCACCACGCTACCTCTCCCCACTTTATCCGCGACACACACACGCGCAGTTTAACCCGTAGTAAGTAGGTTTCGCGACCAATATTATCCATAATAGATGTGTTTTTTGGGGTTAGATCTCGTAAATATAAATGTGTCGTTAAGGCTGCCACCACCATGCGACACAGACAGTTCGTAAGATTTGTCACGTCGACGAAACATGCCGATTCGTAACGAGTGCAGAGCAACCGGTGTGTTTGTAAAGTCAACCCACAACATTTACAATTCGAGTACACGTGCACACACACACACATACGCGCAATAAAAAAAATGTGGCCAACCTTGGCCAACGGGCAACAACATAAACCATAATCGAGGAGGAGCGAAAGGCGTCAAAAGCTCGGAAGCCCGTCACCTGCCGCGCAATATTTTTTTTTGTGCTGCAAAAAAAACTTCCCTGGCCGCAACCACCACCCTCCACGCCCTTTACCTTTCTTGCACTTGGAGCGCCGCCGTCTGCGCCGCTTGCATTTGCGTCGCCGCGCGGGGCCGAGAACGCTCGGCGTCGGGCAGCGTCTTGCTGCTGCTGCTGCTACTGCTGCAGATGTTGCTGCTGCTGCGGGTAAAGCCATCGCGCCCGTCAGAGCTGAGCGAGCCACGGGTTTAGTGAACAAACCTCCCACTCCCCTTCCCCCTGTCCGTCCCGCTCCGGACACTCCAAAAAGTCTCGCCCGAAGTTCACCGGCGACTGGCAGACAGCGCTCGTGCGAACGGCGAAGAAAGATCCCGTCGCGTAAACGCCGCGTCGCCCGCTAAAAAGTGCGGGTAAATTCCGCTGCGGTGTTAAATTAACCAAAAAAAAATTTCATTAAAAAAGTCGGAATGCAACGAAGAAAGTCGATGAGAGCGACGGGTGAAAATGTGTTGTGCTTCTCCAAGAGAGGAGAGTTGAGAAGAGAGGATGTTGATAGCGCATTGCCCCTCCGTGCTACACGCGACTGCTGCTCCCGTGTATCGGCTCAACGAAGGAAAACTCGCGCGAGCTGTCTCAGGTCAACAGAGCTTAATGAGCCTCCCCTTTGACGAAACGCAAAGTGTGGTTAACTCGGTGCGACCAAAGGCGGAGGGGGAGGCCACGCTGCCTTTCTACTCCCTCTGCCTCGATCCTGCCCATCACGAGCCTCCGATTGGTTCCAATTTATAGGGCGCGCTTTGGTGTGACATCATACACGCAGCAACCAGCCTTTCGTGAACGCGCTCTAGAGCTAAAAAAAACCACAGCGATGTCGCCTTAACCTACAGCCAGTAAGCGTAACAACAACGTGCCGTCTGCAAAGGCGGAGTATATACACAAATGTATTGCACTTAGTCGCACGTTCATTCCATGGCTGGTGTGGCACACTCACTCGGTATGCAGAGCTACCGCGTACTATCCCGTTCATTTATTTCGTTGCCTTCACTTGCGATTAAATGAGTTTGTCTGTCCAATTTGTTTTCCTTTCAGTCAAAGTAAGTGGAATGAATGCAACATCGAAGCAACACATGCGTGATAGAGCATAATAGAGAAATGACACTGAATTCGTTCAACAATGTGGGGGGAAATATCAAGAATAAGTATAACCCGTAAAAACAAAGTTTTTCACTATAAATCCTTTATATGCGTGGCAGCGAACTTAATATAAAGGATTTAAAAATATATTCGCCTGTGGAGGACGCGGGGATCGATCCCGCGACCTTTGGCATGGGAAGCGAGGGCGCTACCAACTGCGCTACTCCGCCACGGCCTGTGGAGGGGTTACGCTCTGGGCTCTTATACTGTGACGTTTAGCCAAAGCGATGAATGAGTTCTATTTGAATATATGTAAAATCAAATTTTTTTACCTAAAAAGTGTAAAATTTTGGGAATTTTTTTCACGAACATTAATTGTCTGGCACAACGAGTCTGTGTGGAAAATGTCAGCTCGATTGGATCACGGGAAGTGGGTTAAAAAACGACCGAAAGATTTGCACGGTCGTAAGCAAGCAAGCACGCAAGCACGCAAGCAAGCAAGCAAGCATGCGAACTTAATATAAAGGATTTAAAAAATACCAAGAATGTGATTGTGCATTGGCAATTTAGCAATGCAGTTTACAGGGCTTAACTTCTCACTGAGTACTTTGTGGGTCGCTGGTAGACTGAAGTAGGAATGCGACGAGTATCTACAGTCATAGCGAGGGGTATACTGGATGTGGTGTGCCTGCTGTAGAAATATATATTTTGGGCCACCTACCTGAACAGACCCAGCTAAAAGGACGCCCTGGCAGCATGCTTCATGCGTGACAGCACACTCCGAACATTGACCCCAGCTCGCAGTAATAGACATTCGGATGGAATTAAACAAATGAGAAACACTCCAAATCACCTACCATGTCTGTAATGTACTCCAACACCTGTATAACTAAAGTAGCAATTGCATAAATAGGTATTTAAATACCCACATTTGTTTTGGGGCGAGGCCACGATTTACACGCGCGGACATAATGATCAACATTCTGACCAATGAAGTTCAATCGGAAGTCGAGTGGCGTGTTCATTGCCAGATGAAGCCAAAGCAGTTTGAGGGAAATATCTTAACATGCTGATCTTGAATGCAGTCTCGACAATTGTTAAGCAACCTGTGAAGAGGAGCTTCATTGGTCAGAATTGAATCGACACATTGACACGTAGAAATGATATATTTTCAAACGTGACAATCTGGTCAAGTGCTGGAGGGTTAACCCAAATGCGTATGCTTGCGTATGGGGGGTCTACTGACAATGTACGTACACATAGGAACCAGGGGGGGGGGTGAAGCCTCGATAATAATTTGTCTACATTAGACTTCAAATGAGTTAGATAGTCCGGCGGTGGACTATCTGTTTGCTTAAACACGTCAATATTATTAATCCTTGGTCTTTTCTGCGTGGATTAAATATCGGCCGTTCTATAGGATTCGGGGGGGCGGGTGCGTCAAGCGTACGTACGCAGGTGGGGGGGTGTTAAAAAGTCCGCGTGCGTACAGGGACGGGGGAGGGGTAAAGTTTTAACATATTTTTGCGTACCTATTCAATGGATGGCCCCTTAAAAGTGGGTATCACGTTCGTCCACTGACCTCTGGCTGATAAAATGTAGCCATGTATGATGATAAAATATTCACGATGGTCATTAACGGGGCTTTAGAAATTCACTGCTGGTTGAAGGCCTCCCCAGGCCATGTCAGTCACACGGGTTGTTTGACCATACTTCACCACACTGGTCAGTGCGAGTTGGGGAAAGGGGGGAGGGGGGAATTTTAGCCTGGGCTGAGAATCGAACTTTTCAGATGTCAGGCCACTGACCAGAGCACAGAGGCCTCTCCCTCAAATGTTACTGCTGCAGGAATGCAATTTTACCATGACTTGTAGGTAACTTGAAATTTTAAAAAATTGCACACATATGTCGTAAGTGTGCAATCACAACCACAATACGGGACCACTTGTTCTTAAACACCAGGTTATAATTATACAGTTGTTGGGATTTTGGAGTGGCGCTGAAAAGCATGATTTGGTCTCGTTTGGTGCCAAATCTCACGAGCGAAGTGATGCTCGTCTCTACCGTCCCGCAGTGAATGTTGTGGTTACGGGGTGGATTGAGATACAGTATTGCACAGGCAAAAATCAATATGCGTACGTGGTTGATAATAATGTGGTAACATTTCCCTACGCAAGAAACTGAGCCGCATAATAAGATAAAACATTTCTTTTTTCTAGAAATGCAAATAAGGAATATATAATGTGGACTTAAATTAGGTGAAATAAAATCCCGACGTCATAAATAACATGCAGAAACATCACAAAAGAATATAAGAGATAATAAGTAAAATATATGGGTGGACTTCCAAGCGATATACAGGGTACTTAAGAAAAATGTAACATTTTTCAGGATTTGCAACAATGCCACGAGAAATATTCCTCCAGGCTCCGGAGACCACCTGGAGAAGATTCCAGGCATGTGTTCACAATGATGGCGAACAAGTGTAGACACTTTGACTTTGTGAAGCTATTAACATACATTTGTTATCATGTTACAGTGTATTATCCGTTCTTTTTTCATTAAAAACGATAGTCCCATCTAAGTGTTAACATTTCTTTGAAGCACTCTGTATATTTAACCTGACAATGCAGCGCTGAATTCACAACGGACAAGAAAGATCCTGAAAAGCTTCAACGCTTAAAAGAGCTAATCACTGGTAAACCACACATGATTACAGCAGCAGATTTAGCCATAACAATGAGCCACAAAGTACACATGCATTGAAAAAAACAAATGTATGGTTTTGACAGAAATTTATGCAGTACCGTATTTTGTATCGGAGGGCAAGGATCAGTTTAGATCGCGCTGATGTTAACCGTGGCCAGGTTTCTAACTCAGGTGACCGGGTTTGTAATGAAGAATTGTATACGATAACTGCTATTCCGCAACTCCACCTCGCGGCAAAGTAATAAGCAGCCAAAATGAATGCATTTATCTGATGCAGAATACGCAAGTGGTTCTTGAAACAATATCACAAGACTATAGGTAAGTAGTGGAGCAATTTCTGACGTTTAAATTAAACATGTCATGAATTTAAAATGTAAGCGTTTCCCTTTTAAAATAAAAAAAACTAGCTATGAATTTGGTATTTCCTGTAACAGATTGCAAAATCGTACATGGGAGCAGAAATAATAAATTATTAGGCAGCAGTGAAACTCTTCAAGAATTTGTTGCCAAAGTTTTTTACTGGACTAGAGAGTGTATACGTACGACCAACTTGTGGCTGTCACCGCAAAGGATAGGTAACGTTGCCTTATACATGGCAGAACTTACATGCCTGTTCATACATTCACAATAAAATTTCTATAATTTGATTTGGCAGTTGAGTCAATCAATAATTAGGACAGCAGTGGAAATCCAGGCCTTGGGTTCAATGTCCCCGATAATTTTTTAATGATTGCTGTTTGGAATAAAATTTCGTTTTTATATTTCAATATTGTAAACCGCTAATGCATGAAAGTGCTTCAGAAAAGCATGATTAAATATTCTTCATTTTTCCTTGCATACAACTAGAACTATGTCTGCAAATATTGCCATCTACATAAGCACATGGTGTAAAAACAAAAAATAAACCTTTTTTAATTTTACCAGGTAAGGCCCACTGCGCTATGTAGCTCTTTTTCAGAAGCAACCTGGCCACAAATGACAGCTCAAAAAAGTGGCTTATCATGTGGAAATGTATAGCAGTCAAATACTCTAAACCCATGTTTCTAAATGTGGAGGTAAAACCTGGAGGACCTGGAAAAACCCCATGCGACCACTACAGTAAACTCCAAACATACAGCAGGCGTCCTCCTGTATGCCAGGCGAGGTAGTCAACATCTCACCACCGTGGTGCCCGTATTTACGAAGGTAATTAAAAGCTAACCTGGCCTTCAATTTCCTGAACATTTGAAAGCAAATTGAAGTTTGTGAAACTCACCCAAATCTTCAAGGTATTACACAGCTACACATACCTGTTTGTCCCAGAACATAAATGCCAGAAATATACAATTATACTCTTTGGTTCTTATTTTTTATTTTATTTTTCTACCTACGTGACTTTACCGA